CCCCCCCCCCCCCCCCCCGGTCGTCAGCCAACAGACCCGGCCGGGGGGCCCGGGGGGGGCGGGCCTCGTGCTTTCCGCCGGCTGGGGGGCGGGGAGCGCCCGCGCGTTGCGGCGCCCGGAGGGAGGCCCGGCCGGATGGCCCGCGGCCCTCGAGGGCTACGCGTCGCACGCGCTCCTTCTTCGGGGACAGCCACACGCCTCCCCCATGGCCAGATCTCGCCAGCAACCTCTCCTCTCCCTCTCTCCCTCTCTCTCTCCCCCCCCCGCCCCCCGCCCCCTCCTCCCGCGTCTTCTCGCCCTCCCCCGCCTGCCCCTCCGCCTGCGCGCCCACCCGCCAGCCCTCCTCCCTCGCCCAATCAGGTACCTCCCTCGGTCGGGCCGACGCGCGGCATCACCGCCGCCAGCCCAGCGCCGCCGCGTCCGGCCGCCTCCGCGCCACCCCCGACCCCGGGTCTAACCGCTGCTCCCCCCCCCTGCTCTCCGACACAGAGAATGATCATCCCGGTTCGCTGCTTCACCTGCGGTAAGGTCATCGGTGACAAGTGGGAGCCGTACCGCGAGCTCCTCCAGAACAACAAGCCCGGGTATGCCCGCCCCTCTCCTCGCCGGCATGCTGTCCTCCTGTCTTTTTTCCCCCCCTGCGCCGCTGACCTCCTCCTTGTCTGCCTGCTCCCGCCCCGCCCCCTCCCCGCTCCGCTGTGTCTAGCGATGCCCTGGACATGCTGGAGCTCCGCCGTTACTGCTGCCGCCGCATGCTTCTCACCCACGTCGACCTGATCGAGAAGCTGCTGCGTTACAACGGTCCGTCCGCGTGGCCCCGCCGGCCAGGCTCTCCGCTCCCACTCTGCTTCCCCTCTGACACCCTTGTCCCACTCCCCCTGCACGCACGCACGCACGCACGCACGCGCGCGCGCACCAGTGCACGAGCGCCGCAACAACTAGGGACCTTCTCCCCTTCTCTCCCCTTATCTTCCCCCCCCCCGCACACACACACACACACACG